TGTGTTTTATCATGGACGTCAAACCTGTTTCCCTCCTGAGTGTATACTGAGGAGAAAAAAGTGTTCAGCACCTCGGCCCTCTCCTTGTCATTTGTGACTAACTTCCCGTTTTCGTCCTTTATTGGGCCTATCTGCTCCTTTCTCCCCTTTTTACTGTTTATGTATTGGTAAAAAAATTTTTTTTTACTATCTGTGGCAATATGCTTTTCGCACTCTATTTTAGCTGCCCGTATTACTAGTTTACATCTTTATTACATTCTTTGTAGTTATGGAAGGCCAATGCCGTCCCCTCCATCTTACATTTTATAAATGCCACTCGCTTTTCCTTTATGTGATGCTTTACATTTTTATTTAGCCATATCAGGTTTTGTTTGTGATCTTTTACTTTTATTACCCAACGGTATACACTTGGCAATGGCAATATGTAAAGTGTTCTTAAAACATTCCCACTTTTGGTCTGAGATCAGTTTGTGAAATACATTTTCCCATTTGATGTCCCCCACTAGGTGGCACAGTTTATCAAAGTTAGCCCTTCTGAAATTAAGGGTTCTTGTCCTGCCAGCCCGCTTCCCTTTCCTGTACTGTATCCAATATTGAAAGTAATCACATTGTGATCACTATTACCCAGTGTCTCCCCAATTACAATATCCTCAATTAACTCTGCATTATTAGTGATCATTAAATCTAGGATGAAATTTTTCCTAGTTGGAACCTCCACCATCTGGTTCATGAAATTGTCTCGCAACATGTTCAGAAAGTGGCCCGCCTTTTTTGAACTTGAGGTTCCATTAGCCCAATTTACTTAGCCCAGTTTACTTAGAAGAACTGTTCTAAATGCAGCTGAGTGTTTCCCTGACTAGGGGTTTCAGAATATTTTCCACCTCACCTGATGTGTTCTCTGAAAGTATTGATGCCTAATTGATTGGTTGGAACTGAGTCGGCCTGCCGGGGCAACTCACTCATTTGATGGAGGAGGAGGAGGGAGGAGTGGACTTACTTTGGACTGACAAAACACTTTTGTGAACAGTCGTCACAACATGGAATACAACTGCCTGCCACTGGAGAGTTACTCACCCAAAGTTAGCTTGCTGAACACACACACATACCTACAAATCATACAATACCTGCAATCTGGTACCTGCAATCTGGTGCACTCTAAGGACTGTGCAGCAGCCAAGTGATTACCACACACTTCTGCAATTCCTCAAACTGTCCTGCAAGCTAGAATCCTTGTGTTACCACTTTCCCACTGCTCACACACCAGACACAGTAATCTGCCACCACCTGCAGTTCCTCAGCTGACTGGTCTGCTAGGTAACCACACACACACACACAGATCCCTGTCTGGCAGATCTGCTAAGTTGTATACACTGACACCTAATCTGCATGCAATCCACAATCACACAATGCAATTTCATACAGATTAACAGTGAGCTTACAACTAAACATACATACACAATAACAATGACCAATCTCCCTAGGACAGGTGTAGGCAACCTTGGCTCTACAGCTGTGCTGAAACTACAAATCCCATCATGCTTCTGCCTCTGGGAGTCATGCCTGTGGCTTGCAATGCCTTATGGGATTTGTAGTTTCAGCACAGCTGGAGAGCCAAGGTTGCCTAACCCTGCCCTAGGCGGATGAATTCGTAGTTTAGTACACAGAGGGGAACTTATTAGTTTTATACGTTAATATCCCTAGGTGGGCAGTGCATAAGAAATATGTACAAATGTAACAAGAAAGACAATGATATACAAAAAACTATGGTTATTGGCTATAAAATAAAATGGGAGTATTGTTCATCCTGCTGGCTGGAGAATGGCAGAAATTTGTAAATGTTGTGTCTTTGGATACACTCTCCCAGACAAATACAATGTTCATAATTCCAGATACCCAATTTATTGGGATATGGATGTGGGATGGGATCTAGCCCTTTGGCCAATCACCTATGGAGGTGTCACCCTACCTGCTGGGAGGAGAGTTTCTGCCTTCTGAAGTTATGCCTTCTGAAGTGGTCATAGATTATTTGGGCCCACAGGTTCTGATGTCTGGATCGAGGTTAGGATTTCTGACACCAGCGCATCAGCCTGATCGCAACTCGCCACTCTGCTGCTGCAAGCAGGCTCCAGATACCTGTTTTGTCAGTCTCTACATGATTGTGTTATTGGGCACATAGCCTGTAATATATACTATCAGAGTGAATCTGTTTCATCTCCCTGTGACTGATATGTTTGATTTTATTAGTAATGAAACATAATTTCTTGTCTCTGATAGATCTATAAATCTCTTGTCCTCTGCTGTGGATTGCATCCAAAATGTCTGCGGATGTCCAACCTTATCTGACCAGAAGCCTGAAGGTCCTGACAGGGGGCTATTTAGTAGACATGTGTGATTCGTTCCGAATCGAAATTCAGACAAAATTTCGGAAATTCAGAGATTCGAATGTATCCGAATTACAGATATAGCGAATGCAAACGAATCCGAATTTCCGATTCATTTTTTTTGGACGAACTTTCGTTTTTTGGACAAACTTTTGTTGCCGCAAACTGACATTTGAGAACAAAAAAACGTTTTTTTCCCTGTTAAATGTCACTTTGCTGCAACGAACAAACAAAAACGAATTCGAAACGAAAGTGCGTACGGATTTCCGCTAACGAATTTAATCCGAATTCCGAAACGAATTGACTTTCGGACCCGAATTCCGAAAAACGAAATAAAGCAAAATACGGATCAAAACGAAACTAAACACATTTTTTGCTGGAGCACATGTCTACCATTTAGCGGTTGGGTGTGAATTAGGCACAAGCTTTCTATTCAAATTCTAATGATGGCCATCTGTATCCACTGTTTCACTCATCAGGGAAGTTATACAATATCTTGAGATATTAATGCCCCTCTATACTTTGATATCATTCCCGGTATCAGATGTTGGATGGGAAGCCCCAGTCACTTTGTGTACTTGTCTTTTGCAAGTATCCTTTGGATCGATCATCCTAAAATCTGCTTTTTCATTCAGGGTTAGATAGTTTCCCTTGTAAAGACGTGAGATTTGCCTGTGCCTACATGCTACAGCTGTCCAATAACCCATCATGTTCACAACATGGTGCTGAATGTACGGCCGCTGGTGTGTGTTGATAGGTACTGTGCTGACAGGTATTGTACTTTTTTTTTCAAGAACTTTATTAAAATGTCACCAGTGACATTTCATGAAGTTCTGTTGGCACAGCATGGTGCACTGTACTGCATCATACCACACTGTTCCGAAAGAAAGTTCTGCATGCATGCAACACAGTAGTGTAAACCGAGCCAATTTAAAACAAGGCAAATTGTCTTGTCTGTGCATTGGAGCAGTGCTGGAAAAATTGGTCAGTGCGCCACAACGCATCTTGTGTGACCGGACTCTTAGAAAAAAAAGTAGAACAATTGTGGCTTGTGCTGTTTTTGTGATTTTACTTCTTTGTTTGTCGAATACCATAAACAATCATAACAAAATCACATCTACTTTTCAGTTAAATAATTGATATCTAACATTTGGCCAACACTTATGAGGATACAGTGGCTGTGTGCAAACAACTGAATTAAAAGGCAATGCAATAAACATATTTTATTAGCTTCCACCCATCACCAAAACCATTTTACTTTCTCCTGATGTATTAACTCTCTGTTTAAATTGTTTACCTAATTTGTTGCAAAAACTGAATGTACTGTATATGACTTCATATTCATGCTTTATCCTAATTTATACGCTTACTTTTGTAATCTGCAAAAAGATTTTTTTTTTAAATTGGATAGTAATTTAATGGTTTCCTCACACAAGTGCAATTTTTAGGCTTCCAGCAATGCTTCATTTTGAAATAGCTGCTGATTCTACCTTTGCAACTATGTTCCCTCTCAATTTTACTCATTCAAGCTTACCTAGGATGCTTGCCATCTGTTACAAACTACAAAATATGATGGAATATATGTAATCTGGTTATTTCTTAGAAAATTATCCTAGGAGAATTTTCAGTTCTTTAAGTATCTTAATATTTAAAGTGATACTAAACGTAAGAGTTGAATCTTAAAAATGCACTCAAGTATTAACAAAAATATAGCTTATGTGTGTATCACTCGGCTCTAGATCCTCCAAATCATCTCTGAATTTGTGCTAACACTGTCTTTCCTTCTGGAGGAAGGTAGCCAGGACTCCAAGCTCACTCTCGTATGACTACAATCTCATACTAATTTGTATTGAAATTATAGTCTATCACTTGGAGCGGTGGCCACTTTACAACACAGACAGGGACCATGGGAAACAAAGGTAGCCACCCTCCAGAAGGAAGGATAGTGTCAGCACAAATTCATAGATTACTTGAGGATTTAAAGCTGAATGATACACAAATAAGCTACATTTCTGTTAATAGTTAAGGTACTTGAATGCATTTTTAAGATTTAACTCCTGAGTTTAGTGTCATGAAATTAATTTCATTTGGCAGAGGCAAATTATTAAATCTCTAATAAGGACTCCTTATTCCATGTACATTGAAATGCTTAAAGTGCATGTTAAGCCAAAACCTTTATTTGTTTACTTTGAGATAAGTAGGGAAAGGTTATAATCTCTAATAAGGTATTTTTTGTCTTCTTATTAAAACACTTTAAATATGTATTGGCATTTAGTGGATCTTACATGGTTTCATCCACTCTCCTTCAGTTAAATAAATGTGTAATTTTATTGTGCTTACACAGCAAAATTGAGGGGATGATTTATAAGCCCTTTACACAGCTATATGATGTGTAAATGAGATTAAGTGCTTTATGGCCACTAGATAAAGCTGAGGAGCATAGGAATGTCATGTGGTGTGCACACAGTTTATAAATCAGCCCCTTACAATTTGCTGTATATAGTTTCTGCACTCACTCTTATTTACCTGCTGCTTTCCAATCCTATTTTATATAAACCAGCTTTCTCTTTCTCTCCCTCTCTCTTTCTTTGCTGCTCTAACTGGAACCTGCAGATGAATTTCCAGCCAGTAAGTCTGATCTTCTATTTCCTGGACAGACACTGCTTATTGTAATTATTTATACCAGGGATTAATGAACCAAAAGACAACACTGAGATGTTTAGATATAAACCACACAAAAAAAAGATTTTACCATGAAGAGGCACCAACAACTGCCATCACCTGTCTATTTAGATGTCATACTTACACAGAATTATGCACAGAAGCTAATCTGAGGGTTCTACTATGGTAAACCCATACTGTATGGTCTACTATGGTTCTACTATGATCTGTCAAAACCCTCTGGTTTTTGTGTCTAATTTTGCCTTAATCATAGATTAAGCAAAGTCATGAAGAGCTGAAAGGGTGATGGGTGAACAAATTGAAGCAGAATTTCACCCATACTTTTCTTGTTCTAATTTGAAGTGAGGTAGGGTTTGAACCCTCTCCCCAAGATCTGTTCTAGTCTCTGTGACCCAAGCTTAGAAGCTTAGAGAGCTTTCCAATTTTTGTCAAGTCTAAGCTTTCTTAGCCAATCTTCCTGGTGGATTTGCCCATGGGTGATATGCAGAATTCACTTCATTAAGGGTCACAGGAAGTCCATCTCTAGACAGCAATCAGTAAAGATCTGGTGCAACATTACAGCCTCATATAAACAAGTGGGAAAAAATATTTGTTTATTCTAGATTTGAAAAGTAAGTGTAATTTACAACTCCACATTTGCTTAAGTATGTGTAGACAATAATGTGAGCGCCTAGTTCAGTTCCTTAATAAAGCCTGTATTTGTGCAATACAGCAAGGCTTGCTGCAAAGGTATTGCTTATATAAGGTATTCATCCATTGGAAGTTTTCATGTTTTATTGTCATTGAACCATAAATAATGTCGATTTAATTTTACACCAATTAAAGTGACAAACTCAGGAGTTAAATCTTAAAAATGCATTCAAGTACCCTAAGTAGTGACAAAAATTAAGCTTATATGTGCATCCCTCATGACGCTTATATGTGCTCACTCCTGGGGTGGACTACAATCTCACATTTAAAGGGTTATTCACATTTGCTATTGTGCTCGGTACCACGCAGGTACCAAGCAGAATAGACGAGCCGAATACCGAGCAGAGCATGTTCGGCTGCACCTGGGTCAGTTAAAAAAATATTTTGAAAAATATAACTAAATATTACATTTAAAAAAAATAGAGATTAAAAAAAACCCCCAAAGAATTGGGCAGAGCTAGCAGTGACAGCTAGCTCCGCCCAACTGTTTCCTATTTGCCGGCACCTGCTGGAGTCTTCTAGCAAGTCCCGGCCAATGAATAACAACTGGGCAGAGCCGGCCATGACGTCATGGCCGGCTCTGCCCAGTTGTTATTGTTTAATGACAGATCAGCGTCCCCAGGTCATTTGAGGACGCTGATCTGTCATTACAACTGTGCGGAGCCAGCCGTGAGGTCCAGCTGTCATTTGCGAGGCGGTTTTCCCCGCTTCGGCTGTCACTTTGGCTCAGTCGAGCCGAAGCATATGCCTTCGGCTCGGCTGGGCCGCTCGGCCGCCTTCGACAGCTGTACAGGCTGTAGTGAATAGCCCGTACAGCAGCCCTTCGGTTCGGCTGCTCCGGTGGCCGAAGAGAGCCGACGGATCAGCCGAAGCTACGGGGGGATCTTCTGGCTCCATTGTGAATAGACCCCCTTGGTTTACTAATTTGTATCAAGATTGTAGTCCATCACAGGAGCGAGCTTGGAGCGTTGGCTATTTTAGAACACACACAGGGACCATGCGGAACAAAAGTAGCCACCCTCCAGATGGAAGTACAGTGACAACACAAATTCAGAAATAATTTGAGCATCTACAGCTGAGTGATGCACAAATAAGGCACAGTATTGTTAATAGTTAGGGTAAATTAATGCATTTCTAAGTTTTAACACTTGAGTTTAGTGCCACTTTAACATTAAAATGTACTTTTTATGTCTAAGTGAATGATTTCTGCAAGGAAATTTAAATTAATTACAGTGAAAAAAACTACAAAGAAACTGATTGCATAAGTATACACCCCCTTCAAGTCAGTATTTACTAGATACACCTTTGGCAGCAATTTCAGTTCTTAGTATGTCTTTATTAGCTGTATACATCTGGACATTGAAGTTTTCCCCATCCTATGCAAGCCGCAGATTCTCTATTGGATTGAGATCTGGACACTGACTCAGCCATTCCAGAACATTAAAGTGACACTAAACTCGGCGAGGGTTCTACCTCTACTGAGGACACTATTTCTCCTAGTCTCCCTCCTCCTACTGCTACCTATTCCCTTCGCTGCCAGCATCAGGGTCCTCCTCTGCTCCCTGTTGGTTTTATTGCGGCATGTCAGACTTTGTCTGCATGGTCCAAGCATATGGCAAGGGACTCTGAGTCTATCGGACCAAACAAATGACAATGAAAATTCGTTTAGTTTGATGAAATTAATAATTATGCTGTTTCGGATTCGGAGGCAACGAACCTCTGAATCCGAAAGTGCACAATAAAAGAAAAAAAGCGCTGCAGCCATATTGGTTCTGTGCAGTGGCGGACCTAAGAAACAAAGGGCAGAGGTCAGTTGTAAGGCAGAGAACAGAGGTCAGCGGTATAACGCAGAGGTCAGGGTCTGACGCAGAGATCATGGTGTGACACAGTGGAGAGGTCAGGGTGTGACGCACAGTGGAGAGGTCAGGGTGTGACGCACAGTGGAGAGGTCAAGGTGTGACGCACAGTGGAGAGGTCAGGGTGTGACGCACAGTGGAGAGGTCAGAGTGTGACGCAGAAAGAACAAGAACTTTCAGGAGCCACCACCCTCTGGTGGTGTACAGATTATTCTCCCCTTGGCCGCTCTGTGGCTGCAGCGGCTGAGGAGGAAAATAATCTGTACAGCTGTCTCCACCAAGTGCTCTTCAGTGAGAGGAGAGTGCTGAGAAGAGTGATCGCCGCGGCCGATTTTAGGGGTATCCGCTCAGTCCCCCTTCCAGTGTTCCTCCCAACAGAGTGGAAGTTGGGGACCGGACCTCAGTGGGCCCCCTAACCGCCGGTAGTTCCGCCCCTGGTTCTACGCATTTGTGTCGCTATCTTGGATGCGGGGAGCGCATTACGTCACCCGACGCCAGCATCACCTGCCTCCACTTTTAGATCTGGGGGGATGTGTTTCAGTGTTCTAGGCACTATGGGCATTTCTGATGCCTGGGTACAGCGTGTTGAAACCAAAGGCTACAAATTAGATTTTCACTTTCTTTCTCTTCCTCATTTACTGGTATCCGGTTAGCCCAAATCCCCACAAAGACGGACAGATCCCATTGCTGTGTTAGATCAGCTCCTCTCCCAGGGGGTTATAGTACCCATTCTAAAGCCAGGGATTCTGTTTCAGGGATCTTTTCCAACTGTTTCCCTGTCCCCAATGCCAAGGGGGAAGTTCATCCTATCCAAGACTTGAGGATCCTCAACAGGTTTCGGCAGGCCCAGAAGTTCCGTCCACTTGCTCTGTCATTGCTACCCTTCATCCTGGCTTCCTTTTACATCTTTCCATTTTCCTGTCCACCATCACTACCTGCATTTTGCTGTGGGCACCACACAGGGTTTTCACCAAGATGCTGGCCCCTGTCTTGGCTAAAATTTTGGATGCAGAGGATCCTCATAATGGAGTGCTTTGTTAATCTGTACTGCATCCCCCATCCGGCAGTCCAGCAAGACAAAGCTTGCTCTGGTGTGGTGGATATCCAGCCCAGTTCTGGAGTGAGGAAAGTCTTCCTTCTGATGTCTTGAAAGATGCTCACAACACATGCCACCCTGATGGACTAGGGCAGAGTCCGAGAGAGCCTCTTGGTTCAGGGGATCTTGTTGTCTGAGGAATCTCAAAAGCCATCAGGGAGACACCAGAAGCTGCGCAGCTTAGGGAGAAGTGGACCTGGTTCTGGCTTGGTCAGAACTTCATGTTCTGACCTGGTCCGTGGTGCACATGCCAGGCATGGAAAATTAGCAGGCAGACTATCTTAGTCATCAGCGCCTGGAACATTGGGAATGGTATAATGATTTGAGCCCTTTGTTGCAAATGGAGGGGCTTCAGATGTAGACTTCCTGATGTCCAGGTTCAACAACAAACTGGACCAGTTTGTCACCAGGGCCAGGGATCCCCAAGCTTTCCTGGTGGAAGCCTGATCTACGTCTCCCCTCCTCTAAAACTCCTCCATTGCCTCCTTCACACAGTCGAGATGGGGGGGCATTCTGGTGATCCTCCTTGCCCAGACAACTGTGGTATGCTGGTGTAGTCAAGCTCCTGGCAGTCTCTACGTGAGCACTTCCATATCATCCAGACCTTCTGTCATAAGGACCGGTATTCCACCCTGCTTTTTGGTCGTTGGCTTTAAAGTTATGGCTGTTGAAGCCCAGGTCCCAGACGAATGGAGGCCATTTGAACTTTACCATTGCAGCTGACAGGCTTATTTTGCATGGTGTAAAACCAGGAAGTTCCATCCCAGGAATTACTTTAGCCTCTGCCATCCACCTTAACTGGGACATTGTGTTACCATCCTTGTGCCCTACAACAAAACATCCTAAGAGAATTTCCCTCCACTGTCTGGATGAGGTTCCGACGTTAGCGTTTACTTCTCTGCTACAGCTTCCACAAGTCTGACTCTTTGTTCATTATCCTTCAGGGTCCCCATATGGAGCAACCAGCCTCCTGGTCCACGATTGCTAAGTGCATTCTTCATACCATCTCACGGGCATACAAGCTGAAGGGAAAAGTTGTTCCATTTCTGGTCACTGCACACTCCACTAGAAGTGTTAGTGCTTTCAGCACCTGGTTTTAATTTTAGAAATCTGTTAGGCTGCTACCTGGCCCTCTGTACACACATTTGCCACGTTTTACTAGGTGTATGTTCAGGCCTCTGCAGATGCCAGTTTTGGCCAGATGGCCCTTTGACTTCGGGCACTCCTCTGTTTCTAGGTCTCTGTTTGCTGTTGGGGTTGTTGTTTCTTTGGCCTGTTATTTGCTGTGTTGCCTGCCCCCTCTTTGGGACTGCACTTGTATGTACCAATGATTAACACATTTAACTTCTTGTGTCCAATGATGTACAATTACAAAAACAGGATTTTGGTCTTACTAGTAAAATCAGTTTCATGGTGTACATCACAGGACACAGGATCATCCCTTCTGTATTCTGCGATCCTCTTTGTACTGCTGCCAATACTAAGCTGAGCAGGCTGGGAGTGGGAGGAGTTATGCAGTGGTGGCCTTTACCTTTTAATTGATTTGCATAACCCAGTAGTTAAAGAAATTAACTCCCTCAGTCCTGTATTGTGCGCCAAGGATTTTGCAGGAAAGAAACTAACACATTGTAGGCACTGTACTCTATTTTTAATAAACAGTAAATATTTGTCAGATTTGTAATTGTGTATTACTGCATGATAATATAAACAAATCAGATGAAGTTTATTGTTAACAAATAATACATGTTTTTCTCTTAGCACAAGTGTTTCCTCCAGTTTTCACTCAACAACTGCCACAGAAGTATGTGGTCTACCCTAATGATGATATTATGCTCAAGTGTGAAGCAAAAGAAAATTCCAGAGCTTGGTACGTTCAATAGTTGTCCTTTTATTTTTTTTAATATATTTATATTTTTGCTTTTCTCAGCTAGATAGATCAGTACTATATAGTGGGACCTGGGTGTTAGCATATGTGGTCTTACAACCTTTTACTGAATTATCAAACTACCAAGTTTAAAAATTAAACTATATTAATAAGTTTAGTTATGTATTTTTAGTTGGTAAAGAGGTTTACAAAATCCAAAAAAGAGGGGGGGGGGGGGGTTACACTCAGGTGCTATCATTGTTTTAACTGCCCACTGGCAAACATGGAAAATTGTTTTTACATATTGTACTAAAAATGTGTTTTAATACATTTGCACAGTTTACAGTGATTTCTAATTATGACAACATAATTAAAGCTGAAGTTTAATCTGGTTATTTTTGGAATTTCCTGATTCCCCCCTCCCCCTTTATTAACATGCCAGTGAAATGTTTAAATACCATTCCCCCCCCCCCCCACCCCCCCTTTAATTAA